TCGCCAAAGAACTGTAATTTGGATTAAATAATTAAAGTTGGTTGTCCCCATCTGAGTGTTCGTTTATTACATATATACTTGCCTGCTTCTAACGTTTATCACCGATATTTGTAGGTTCCAAGTAGTTGAAGAGAATTAATTCATACCATTCTCTTGCGATCATTGTTGTTGGTTTATCCAAATTTGACGTAAAATGGTTATGAAAATCAATCTTAGCCCAGAATTCGACTAGACAAGCTGTGTAAACAGTGCCCTAAGACATATCCATAATTCTAAGAAGTTTAATATGTATGACTAATAAAACCATGAGCGTGAAATTACATTACTTTAAATGATTCAGTCCAGATACAAAAAAGGTTACAGAATGATACACGAAGTAAAGTTGTCTGGTCCTGATTGTGTCTTGTTCTTTTTTCATTGAGCATCATAACATTACTATCAGTAAAAGATATTCTAGTAGTAATCAACACCAAATATTGCGACATAGCTTGAAGAATACTGTGACAATACAGCTTGATTCGTTGAGTCTATCATTTTGTAGTTGACTTATCGTGGTTCTTCAACTGAAGAATCAATTGCCTGGTTTCTCGATCAATGTATTCTACAAATTCAGCTGCACCAGAGAAGAAAGCTATATCTGACGTATAATCAGACAACTAAGCTAATGAGTTAGTTAGGGCCTTCTTAGAAACCTAATTAACGCAAACACTGTAACCAAAACTGATATCGAACTTCATTTATAAAAACCATGTGTTTTAGTGGATTCTGGTTAGACAGTAATCTATTTCAGTTTATAAAACTGTTTTAAATCATATTTTTGAAATATAGGCTAGTAGCCCAATAATGAACAAGTAAGTTGCTGAAACGACATAGTTTTTTAATGCTCCATAGCTTTCAATGGTTCTTAATCAAAACCTCATTTTTGTCTGCTTTTTCTCTTATTCTATACACATTTGAAATTTAACGGGCTTTTAAACAATTTATTGAAGATTACCGATTAATTGCATAATATAAGTTTGATTTCATCTCATCTAACTTACCAGCATTAACTTAACAACGAAGATAATAGAACATAAGGTTTTTCAATAAACTGTTCATAACTTAATTGTTATGAATCAAATATTAAGCTTTTATAAGCAAAGATGGATAGTGGCTAGCAGTGGAATTCAGGACGCGCGTTTCGTCCTATTTAGGACATACGCACAGTATGCACATATGTCAATAACAGACTGATCAATTGTAGTCTTAAACCTCAATGAGAAGATACAAGTAAAAATACCAAGTAAATTTAAATATTAAGCTTAATTTGACAATAATCGTGTTGACCAATGAAAATTATCTGAAAGTATTCTAGGATTAAAATTTTAAAAAATCGTCGCTGTAAAAGCACATGGTAACCTTAAAATGAAGCTTTTAGTTTCCGTCTACTTCTGTATAAAAATGTGATCAGATTAATTAGAGACAAGTAATAGTCGAAAAGGTTATGCGATAGCATAATTAAATCGATTAATCATTTCAATGGGAATATATGCATATCTAACCATAAGCATGTATAATTATCTTTACTACACAAACTGGCAAAATACAGAAACGGATTCATATACCCATTTTTTCAGTGTTTTGATGTTGAGCTACATTTTATACCCTCAGCTCCTATCTTAAAAGTACTAAATCACTTAAAGATTTAATTTCACTTTTTCATTGTTTGCCATTGTTGTGAATTGGCAGTTCATAGTGGGTACGCACAATCGTTGGTTTTACAGTATTATTTAATAAAGAAGTTTCATTCCATTTGACACTCGAAAATAACAGATCTTTTTATTTCAGAAATTGATAGTTATATAATTTAACGTTTATTTTATTGAACCGATTTTATAATTTAACTATTAATAGTGAACTTTTAGTTTCTTCACAGAAATATTACAATGATCTTTTGAAAAAATTCATTTCATTTATGATTAGTAAATATATGTCTGATTGATTCAATCTTTATTTTGTTTTGTTTATTCAACATTGAACTGAAGTGATAAGGAAGTGAAGGTATGCTCGCTTTTCTTAATTTATATAACAAAAATGATAAATAGGAACTAAAAATTCCAATACCAATAATATAATTATTTATAATATTCAACGATCGTTAGCCAGAAACTTTTACTGTGGTATTTTCAAATTAACTGAGAAACATAATTAGATTCAAAACCAGTACCTTTTAAATTATTGACTGAAAATAGTTAAAGAATAATTGAAGACTGGGTAGAACTGTAAGCTTATTTTGTCCTACCCCAGTAGTGTGCAACAACATTTGGAACTGAACCCAAGATGAGTCTAATTTCCATTGGTCGGCAAAATCCAACCACCTAAACCTTTTAGCTTTCTTTATCAGCAAGTAAAAACGTTTCCTTTTTTAAGTAAAAATCTCGGGTTAAACCCATGAAACTGAAATTCTATACATACCATGTTCTATGTTTGGCTTCATTAAGTGAGATTGAAACATTATCTTCTTTGTCATTTGAAATATAACTGAGAGTACATTTAATAACATTTATGTGTAACATCAACTGGTGTCAAGTCATTCATACTTAGTTCGGTATCCGAATATTGAGCATTCTTTAAATATCATCAAATTTTTTACTTTCCCTAAATTTGGCTATGTATACTTTATTCATCTCTTGGTTACTAATCGCTAGTTTCAATGCAACTCATCAACTTGGTATCAGTTGATACGCTTAACTTTTCATTGCACACTCTACATAAAGGTTTATGATATAATTTGCTTATTCAAACCAAAGTAGATGACGTGAGATATGAATTCATTATTTAATGGTTGTTGAAAATCAAATGATCTAACCATTCACTAACAGCTTCATCCGTATATATTATCTGCTTCATTATCAGACAAGTTTCATGAAAACTAGGATATTTTCAACATTTACTTAGCTAATTCATATTCATTAGTTTGAGGTATTTATTGAATGATAGATCACAGTTACCACCATACACATATGCTTTCATAGAAACTGTCAAAACAGAAACTGTGGCAAATTTTTAAAGAATATTTTATGAATTGATAAAGTTCAACCTAAAAGTCTGTCAGTTGTATGAATATTTGTCTAATTTTTTTTCGAAATTATCTGTTTTCTATTTTTGGATAACGGCATGTGATGGTTTGCTAATAATTATATTTTCTGGTTATTTAAGTTGGATGCATAACATAGTACAATATTTGTCAAAGTATCACATGAGTATTTATTGAGATCATTTGAGTAATCGGATTTAACTTTTTATATTGTTTTACAAGTCATCTTTAATCTGAAGTTATCAGAAGATCATAAAAGATTATAGCTCAGTATAAAAAATCTAGTTGATATTAATATAAATTTTCTTATGAAATCTCCAAGATACTATTGATTATCAACAGAAATGCAAAAAGCCATACATTCATAACATTTACGTTTATAGGATTTTAAAACAACTCGATAAACATTGATAGCAACTCTTCTACAACCAATTTCGATTATGGTTAATTTTGGTTAGTACCTTTTATCGACTTACTTAACAGACAATGTTATTTTAACAGTAACAATTCGTATATCTCTTTGTACGTTATGATCACTAGATCATACGATAAATTCTGAATAATATATCGATCGCCTAAATATCCCTCGAGAATTCATTCTCCTCCCTATGTATATGTGTACTCAAATCCTATTATCAGCTTTTGCTTTGCATTGGTGCGCCTTTATACAACTTGACTATAAATTTGCCTATGTAATTGCTCACATATACATATTTGTCTCTCTGTCTGCTTCAAACTCGCTTGATGCGGTTATAACTTTGTGATCTTCGCTATCCGTAAATAAAACTGTAGTTGCTGCTTCTCATTAACTTTTTATTTCAAACACCGTTGAAATTTATATAACAAAGGTTACAAGTGTGATTGAATAACGAAACAAAGCATTAAAAAAGGATCGATAATTGCAACATTATAAGGGTAAACTGACTATACCACATATTTCACTATTTCAAAAATAAAAAAACGCGAAAACATCACTCCTGTTTCAACCTTATTGTAATTTAAATTCGCTTGGTGTAGTTTTACTTGTATCTTCCGATTGTTATTTAGAACTGCAATTGATTGTGCCCTTCACAAACGCTGTATCTTTTTAACCGAGTGAAATCTACCTTGATTTTGTTCTTGTTCAAACCGTGTATATTACAGAATTCACGCAAGTTTACAGGGAGGATCAACTTGGTATAAATAGTAACGTTAGACGTGCAGAACAAACATGTGAGAAAAGAAAGTTTTAAGTATACTAGTTCAGTAATTGTTTAGGTGGTACATGTATTACAGCGATCCAATGCGTCAACCGGGAACTTTTAATATTTCTTAAATGGACAGCCTGTTGATTTATGAACGGAGTAATTAAGGCCATTTCGTTTGCCAAATCGAATTAATGATAATTATTTACAACTAGAGAAATTAAAACGAAAACAGAGAGCACGGAACAACAAAGCAGTAATTACCAAAATATATCGTTCAGGTCTACCAAAATGCGTGTGTCATGTGACACAGTGATATACTGTTGATGTTAGATATTGTTCAAATTATTTAAAGTTGCTAGGGTCGGTGTTAACATAAAGTGATAGCAAGTAGGTTGTTTTACTTAGGGAACGCACTAATAAAAATGGCTAAACATTTAAAGTTCCTGTAATATCACTTGTGGGATGAGATACACTTACAGGTGCTAGAATATTCAATTCATTTTCAGAGGAGCAGTATGCATCGATGCAGCGAACAAATAATGGGAGTGATTTTATCGTACGGCTAGATTGTGGTTGGTTATTCCAGAGTCTAGAAAATTTACAGGTAAAGTAATTCATATAAAGAGATGATTTAGAATAAGTTTGTTTCACTAGTGTCAAGGAATTACGAATGTCATAATGAGAAGTTTCGGCATATTGAATCACGTAAATAAATTATAAAAACTATCTGATGGCCATTAATTAAACAACTGGAGTTCAGTTTTTGCATCAATTAGTGATAGACCATCACGAAGCCATGCAGCTTGTTTGACAAAACAACGACGACTACTACCACCACGCGAGGCAGTAATTGAAGAATATCGCCAACAAGGTTCTTGTTGTTGTGTTGGCATTGGTCTATTTTTTCAATTGATGTAAGAGGTGATAATGATAACGATGACTATACGAGTACAAGCGATAGGTTTCCAATCTACATACACTTCACCAATTGTAGTCATTAATGTTGGCTGACATGCATGCCCACCTCGTAGTTTATTACGACTTAATGAAAGATTTAGACAGACCGGTGCGAAAATAAATATTTCTGAATCAATAATGATTGATAGTAAATGTCCGCCGTCGTCTGCATTAACCCAATCCCATCGAATGGATAATAACTAATGATTGATTGAGAAGAGAAAGATTTTAAAATCAAACAATCATACATAAAACCGTAGAATCCAAAGATCAGTGGATTAGAGGTTAAACGTTCACGCATGAGACCGAAAGTCCTTAGCTCGATCCCTGTGTGCAGAGTCGCCAACGCGCAACGACGCTGAGGCGTCCCAAACTAGAATGAAATGACTGTACAGTGCTTCCAGGTTTTCAATGGTAGTCTAACATTGGTCGCTTTATGATCTCAATGAAATTCTACATGAACTAAGGAAACAAGGCCTGTTCTGTAAAACAAATGGCAGAGCTATACCGACCTATAAAATATTGAGATCCATACCTATTAAGCCAATTAATATATGATAAATATCTACGAATTACGCATTACGCTACAACCAGGCATGGTAGTTAATGTTAGTACGACATAACAAACCTTAGCCCTAACTCTTAATCTTAATTCCCAGCACTATTTCCTAACTCTATTTTAATGAGTGCGTTGTAACTTTAAAGCGGTTTGAACGCTCACCATTGGAGTGGCAATATAGCTAAGTTTTACCGCAAACGAATTAGTGTTTGTGTAAAACAAAAGTTTATGACACTTATTTTAAATTCGCGTGCAAAAAGCTGGTAAATTAGAAGGATATAGATGTAGGTATTATATTGTGTTCAGTTGAATGCATACATATATACTAAAGAAACTTGATATAACGGTTTATTTAAAATACTTTTCTTCCCGCGGTATACCACGACACCATGATTATACATTAAAGAGATTGGAACGGATGATCCAGTTCAGAATGCCACTACACACCACTGCATACTCGAACGATCCATAATGCACAGACCAGATCATCTTATAACAGATACCCCCGTTCACAAACAAGAATAAATAACCAGAGTAACACTTGACAATACTTTATTCTACACAATTATAGGTAGTTACACTCAGTGAGTCTGGAGTAGAAAATCAACGGAAGGGAAGAAAATCACATATTGAATTGTTAGTAAGCTGATCGACTGTTTGTTCGTACTTAATGACTGGTCACATTTACTTTCACAACCACACATTAAACCCACTTCATACTGGAGGGTTTCGCTAAGAACAGCTCAAGTTATCGATTGTTTTTGTTATCACATATCAGTTGGTTATTTAAAGGATAGTTGCGATGACAGTTTTCTATGATGACATTTGCAGCTATTTCATCAGTTGTAACAATTTTCAGTTTGCTAAAATCGTTGTGTGCTGAAGTCTTCCGGTGGTAATGTATGGAACAAAGTTAATCCATTTCCATTTTTTTCTTCCTTTCGGGATTATAAAGCTACCCTGAAAGTCACGACCTCTATTTCATATAGATATGTAGAATAATAACGATGAGTTGTTGGCGAATTTCAGTTACCGCTATATCGAGGACTCCATAAAATACCTTCGTATAAGAATAAGCTCAATTGGTTTATAATTACCAAGTAGTGTAGGCCCAAACTGAATTTAATATCAACATAAAAAAAAATCCAGAGTAATCTTCATATTTCTATTGAGACTTATTACTGGGTACAAAATACGAAGTAAGTACAAACGGTACCTTTAATAAACAAAATATGATTCAGTGTTATCGGGATTCATGGACAGTAAAAGACATCGGCAGATAAACCTTAGCTATTTTAATGAGGAAATAGATCTGATCTACTGATTCACCTAATCTTGTACAGTAAGTTATACGGAGTGTAGCCAGAACTCGCTTTCAACACGGATATCAGAACACATTTTAGCATCATTATATTAACTTTGAGAGGAAAGTGGTTAGGAGATTTACCTTTGAACATCAAGTCGACTCTAATCAATTAACTGACGGAAAATGTTGTGTGTAACATTGGTTCAGATCTCTCCTCTGCATCAAACGAAACAGCCACCTAGTGATTTCAGGCCCTTAATGGTGGTCTAATTAGGACCAGTTCATAATTTAGATTGCGAAAATCTTACAGTCTCTACAAATCCTTTTATACTAAATCGATAAAAAAATATATCAATAATCGATCTTTTGAAGAGAAAAACTTTTCACAATGAAAATCTAAGAAACAAAACAATCATTGTAATATATAGTTCAGAGTAAATTTTCCACACACACATACAGAGAAAAAATTACCTTATCAATGTTATTTTGAAAAAGACAATATTCCGATGTTAATTCAATGGTATCTTCTAATATCCATCGTATCCACCTAGAAATATCAAGTAAATAAATAACATTGAAAAGGAATTTCTTTATCAAGTTGTTCAGTGAGTATTTATATACTAAATAGGACAATAGTGGCATGATTATAGGTCAGTCGAAATTGACATAGTTTATATTAACAGAGAGAAATTATGAAAAGAAGTACTTTTCTTCTTTATTGTTCTATTCAATACAAAGATAGTGATAAAGACATGTGATAAGTGTAGATGCTATAACAATGTCAACAAAAATAATAATATAATGAGACGATGGAGAAGATTAAATTGTCTGTATTCTTATTTCAGAAGAACTACAATGGACATGAAAAGGATGGATATCAACTGGAAAAGATTGTCATATGAAGGATAAAATAATTTGTAAAATACATATATCCCATCAGTAAAATTTATTGACAGTAAACTGGATTAGTTTAATACTATAATTATATCAGAATGAAGTAGTCATTATCTACCAACCAAACTCATATTAAGTTTTAATTAGTAGCACAGAAAGTGAACTTTTAACCTGGTTACTATATATATATATATATTTAAAAGGACTAGTGAAGTTATCCATATTTGAGCTTTAATGTTATGTTGACCTTAGTATTTTATAAACATTTCACTCTAGGTGATTATCTTCAAAGAAAACAAAACAATAAACGTGGATTTGTCTAGATGAAAACAGATTAGAATGACATTGTACAGTTTTTATAGTTTATAGTTTTTTTAACTAAAGTTTAAGCTAGATAAATAAATAACTAAATAATTGGCATCATTCTACGGTCAAAATGAAGTTTGACTGTTTTGATAAATATTTCGTTGAAATATTTCAAATTAGTTTGAACATTTGATGATTTTTATTAACAAAAAAAACAAACACATCAAATGAGTAATGTAAAACATTCACAGACCATAAATTCTGTTTAACAATACTAACCACTACCACATTAGAGTTTATAAGCACCAAAGTGTGAATAATATATAGTTTGGATTTGATTATTGTTTAATATAATTTGTCCATAGTTAAGCAAAACTGAAGTACTACCTCAATTTTAATATGTCAGGCGTTAACAATTGTTTTAGCTTCCTTGATGATTATTAAATTACTTGTGTATTAAAAACACACAGGTTTTATGATTCATTAGAAAAAGCAAATTTCAGTTAAATTTAAGATATTCAAATGAAACCTTCAGATAAATTTGATGATCAGATTAAGAGTAGATATATTTCTATGTTAATTCTCGCTTGAAATTATTGACAAAAAGTTTATAGATCAGCAAAAACCAATCAATGAGTTAAAATATAAACAATAAATATGAAACAACAGTTGCTTTTTATACTCTGTTCTAATTACATAGTTTTCTCTTATCTAATTTCTTAACAACTTAACATGGTACGGTAACTTGAAGACAGTCTTCTATAGATATATGATTCAAATTTGAAGTTTGTTTTCTTTGTAACACCATCTCATAAGTAATTTTTTTCAAAATGTTAGTTCCTTCATTTAGAGCTACGAAATAGTGTTCATAAACTAAGAGTCTTTCGCTATCTAAACATGTTTTCGATGTATAACGTCGTTTTTATGTAACTTAAAAGTTACCAATTACTCAAATGTCTCTATTTTCTTTCTGACATTTGTGTATGTCTACATCTTATCTTCATGTGATTTTGTGCGTAATCATTGTTGCAAACCATAGAAGGATAAATGTAGTATCTATCTACAGGATTCAGAGTTGAGATCAGCTGTTAATGATTTTAGATTTTGGGACAGTTTGGATTGCGTGAAATTAGTTCGTGAAAACTAACATAAGATGGGGAATCAATGGTTCTTCAGTTTACAACATTACAGAACGTAAAACCAATATAGACGATATATATATATATATATATATATATTTGACACCTGATAACTGAATGTGACATGTTTCAAAAATGACATAATTATCGTAAGCTGACATTTAATTGACGTTAGGATGATAAATAAGTTTATTCTTGCTAATTAATTAACTAACCATTGATGTAGTTAAATAGATAAAATCAAATTAGAAATTACAAACTGAGTAGATCACATCACACAGACAAAAAGCGAGATGTCTCTTGAATCAATACAAAATGTTTGGAGGTTTTGTAATTGAGAAAGATGTTCTTTCAGACTGAATTTGGTGATGAAATAATAAAGCCACATTCAGAAGTGAACACGACATTAATTTATATACTGATCGGGAGCTGATGATTCATAGAATAAAGTGAGAACAAAACTAAGTGTTTATACTTCATAGATCTCGGATTAAGCGAGACAATGCTTAAAAATTCAGCCTTCATTTTTTGCCATTACTTCTTTATTTATCTATTTATCTTTCCACAAATCTTGTATTTTAACAGAACAATAGTCCAGGCCAGACGATATTGATTTGTAACCAATGTTATACATACATATAAAACATACCCTTACAGTTAGTTTTTCAATTACAGTTGCATGAAATTAGTAAACTATCATAAAAATGACAGTTACCTAGATATACATTTCGTCTTAATAAACAACTTTAGTGTTTGGGCTTTGCTAAATATGTACACGTATGGATTTGATACTGAACACTTTCAGTTAATACCGATGATTTACGTTTATACATAGAAATCCTATTTCTTACCGTTATATTCATTTTTGTAGACAGCTCAGGAAGTATAATCTCAAACATTCATATCTTAAACCTTGGCAAATAATGTGGAATTCGGTAGCGATAAAGAGTTGTAGAATGAAAATTGTGTTCGATTTCGTCCATTCAATATTAGCTACCGACGCGTCCTAAGCTTTTTGTTTACTTGCATGTACAATTACAGTATTGTTGTATTATACTTCAAAAATGATACTACATATTCTAAAGATTATACTTATTATGCTAATGAACATTTTGCATAATTGATGGATCAAATAACACAGAGGTATGCGAGTGATAACCATTATAAAAAAGACAATCTCATAACAATTCTGGTTGTGAGCAGTTTACCTAACTTCACCTGTAGCTCTTCTAGGATTACTGCTATTCCTAAGCCCAGATAGAGGAGGATAGTTGGTCATGGGGTCAGCAACCACATCCCGTTGCAAACAAATTTTCCAAAAAACGCTAACCAGAATAAACAATTTAACCACTTAAAGACTTTCCAGGGAGTTGAAAGATCTTCATTTACAAAAATTATAAAACCTCATGGTGGAAACTGACATGCTTCAGAAGTCACGAGATCGATGCCTCTCCTAACAACCGAGGTAACAATTAATATAGGTTCATGAAATGTTTGGACAATGTGGGAGACAGAGAGGACCATTCAAATAGTAGTGGAAATGAGGAGATACAACTTGGCGGTTCTCGGGATAAGTGAAACCCAGTGGACACAACCTGCACAGAACAGGTTGGATTCGGGAGAGATACTGTTGTACTCCGGTCACGAAGAAGAAAATGCTTCGCACACTCAGGGATTTTCTATGATGTTTTCCAAAGAAGCTAAAGAACGACTTATAGGATAGGGATCTCATGTATCCAGAATCTCCAAAGCACTCTTCAAAACAAAGATAGAGAGGGTCACAATGAATGTTATCCAATGTTATGTACCCAACAAATATAGCAATAACGATGATAAATATCAGTTTTACGGCAGGCTTCAATCGATCATAGAGATCATAGGAAAGAACCTGATCATGCTGACGGGAGACTAAACAAAAAAGTCGGAATGGACAACAATGGTTATGAGGATATCATGGATCGATATGGACTAGGCAAAAGGAACGAGAATGTTGAGAGACTTGGAAATTTATGTGAATTCAACAAAATAGCCATAGGCGGTACAATATTCCCTAACAAACACATACACAAAACTAAACGGGTCTCACAGGATTACACTACACGGAACCAGATCGATCATATTCGTATCAATAAGAAAATCAAGAAGGTCAATGGAAGTCGTGAAAACCAGGAGAGGAGTTGACACAGCTTCAGATTACCACATAGTTGTGGACAAGATGAAACTGAAGATAAAGAAGCACTGAACAATTGAAGAAACAGCATAACGGATGTTTGATGCAACCTTCATACGAATTACTAACGAACCCAACCGATTCAATGTAACTCTCAACAACACGTTCCAAGATTACAGGATCTACTGAAAAAAGAGAAAACTAATATGGACCACTAACTTTAATGTATCAGGAAGTGCTAAGCAGCAAGCAGCATCACCATAAGGAACGAATCTCTATGGAAATCCTGGACATGATTCAAGAAAGGGCGAACAAGAAGAGACCAATTAACAACAGACGAACAAGAGCAGAAAAGGTCAAGGCAAAAGCTGAGTACACAGAAGCAAACAAGCAAGTGAGGAAAAGCATTAGAGCTGACAAGCAGAAATATGCAGAAGAACTAACAACAACAGTGCAAAACACTGTAAGAGAAGGAAATTTGAAACAACGATATCACACTGAAGAAAGTAGCAGGAAAATATGGTTAACAAGGGAGGCCGATCAAGGACAAAGAAGGAAAGACAATCATCGAGATTCAAGAATAGAAGAACAGATGAGCAGAATACTTCAAAGAACTGATAAATAAACCAGCTCCATTCAATCCACCGGACATCGCAGCAGCACACACAGACATTCCCAAAGATGTCACTCCACCAACGATAGGAGAAATCAGAATGGCCTGTCTGATTTTCAACAGTGTGTTGTTGAAGCAGATGAGAGATTCAGTGAATGTCCAACTTCGAAATCAACAAGCTAGATTCCGTAAGAATCGATCGTGTACACACCGAATCGCAACACTACGAGACAATGTTGAGGAATCAGTTGGATGGAATTCCTCACCACACATCAACTTCCTCGAGCTTGAGAAAGCATTTCACAGAGTAGATAAAAGAACCTGAAGAACCTAAGTCGACATGATGGTGTACCTGAAAACAATGTCAGCATCATACGGAATTCTTATGATAGACCATACAGCAGAGTCGTGAATATAAGGCAGCAGTACAGATGTATTTCAAGTGTTGGATAGGCCACCTTATTCTCACTCTTTCTCTTCATTAGAGTGGATGACTGGATTACGAAGACTCTCACATCTA